GCACCCAGCCCTTGGATTTCATGGCCCACTGTGAAGGAGGAGGAGGCGGAGGCGGCAGTGGGAGAAGGAGGGAGGAAGGGAGGGAAGGAGGGAAGGAGGGAGGGAGGAGGCGGCCGGCCCGCCGGCCCAGCCAGGAAGCGCTGGGCGTGGACGGGGCTTGTGGGAATGATTTCATTGGAAAGGCCTGTGATATTTTTCCCCCTGTTGTGTGTGGTTCTTGGAGGAGGTTGGAGGTGGGACAGTGGTGGGGCTCTCAGTCGCCTGAGCCAGCACGGGGGGCAGCTGCCTCCGGAGCCAGAGCGGCTCCTCGGCTGGTCCGCCTCTGCCTGCTGCCCCGTGAGCTGTGGGGCTCCGGCCCCCCCTTTCCTCGGCTCCTGTGCCCCCATTTGGCTTTTGCTGCCCCTGACCTTCGGGCGAGATGGCTTTTCCAACTGGTCCCGGCAAGGGGGCAGGCAGGCAGGGGAAGGAGAGGGGTGCAGGAGAACTGGCTGCCCCTCTGCTGGGGGGGGCGTCACACTCGCTCCTAACCTGCGTGGTGTTTGTTTTGCTCCCCCCCTTCTAGTCATCGGGAGCCCCTCCTGAGAATGACCCCCTCGGCCCCCTTCCTCCCGGCTGGGGTAAGTACCATCCCTTGATTTCCTTCCCTTGTGAGCTCCAGGTATCCCTTCTCCCCAGGATTTTGTCCCCTACGTTTCTGCGCTTGCCGGGGTGTCCTGCCAAAGGCTCTGTCCTGTGAGACCAAGTTCCCTCCCGCCTGGACCCCGAGTTCCAGTCTTGGGTCTTACGGCATAACATCTCCCTTTCTCATCCTCTGGAGCCAGAAGAGGCTTCCTGTGTGTCTCTATCTGTCATGTGTGTGTGTGTGTGTTTTCCTTTGGGGCCCTTCTGCTTCTCCTCTGTTCCTCATGTGTTTGAGACCAGAGGGAAGGAGAAAAGATGCCAAACAGAAGCTCCCGGGGTGGTCAGGAGGCGGCTCTCCAGCCTGCTTGGCTTCTGTAACATCCCACAGGGCTGCTGCTGGAGGAGGCGGAGAGGAAGGAGGCAGGTTGGGGAGCTGAGGTCGGGGTCGCAAAGAGAAGCAGGAGCGGGACCCGGCCAGGAGGCGGTGGAGGTGCCTGCTGGGCTCATCCCGGGTGCGGGTGGGGCCACAGCGGAAGGAGGGGAGGGGTGTGTGTGTGTCCCAGAGGTGAGGCCTCCCTGTGGCTTGTGGGGGTGCTGCTTCCTGTCAGATTCTGGCCTCCCAACTCGGGGGTGTGGACAGCTGCTCTGGGTCTCCTCTCCCTTCCTTATTTTGCTTTCCTCGGGGGAGTTGCAGGGGCCAGCTGCAAATCCCTGTGGCCAGCCTGCCTTCATGGCACTGAGAGAGAGAAGGAGGGAGGGAGGGAGGGAGACAGGGCAGAGGGGGCTTCTTTGATGACATTTCCATGGGGTGGGGAGTCTCTGACACCCTGAAGACGAACACGTTTTCTTAGTGGGCGGTTGCACCGGCAGCTTCTTCAGAGTCAAGTCCTTGCCTGCTGCCCACGAAGCCTTGTGCAAGGTAAACCTCGTCAGCCTTCAGGGTGTCACAAGTCTCTTTGTTGGCCCTCTCTAGAGGCAGCTGCTCCCCCCACTTCCCCCAGGCTAAGGGTCCTGGCGAGAGGGGCTTACCTGGAGGAGCGGAGGGGGGGCGGGTTGAGCTTGACACGTGAAAAGGCCGAGGGAGCCGAAGGATGAGAAGAGCCGGAGGAGGAGAGAGGTTGGCAGGATGGGGAGCCATTTAAAGGGGTCCCAGTCGTTGCCCTGTGGGGCTACCAGGATCTTTCCCTGAGCCAATGAGGGACCTCTGGCCAAGGCAGCCTCAGAGGATGCCCAGGTGGTGGTGGTGGTGATGGTGGTAGTGGGGTGGGGGAGGAGGAGGAATGAAGAAGAAAGCCATCTTTCAGCAGTCAGGTTCCTCGGCCCAGGACTACGGGGCTCTGTGTGTGTGTGTGTGTTGCCTGGGCTGGGGGGGGGGTTCTCTTCAGTGACCCATCCTCTTTCCCTGGTTCCCCACCCTGAGCCCCACTCCTGGCAGGATGGACGCTGTCCAGGTGACAGACCCCTCTTCCGTCCCTCTTGTCTTGCTGTCTTGGGATGGGGGGACCCTTGGCAGGTGGGGGCTGGGCCTGGCGGGCGTGGGGAGCAAGAACGGCTCACCTTCCCAGAGAGACCCTCAGCCCTCTTTCGGAGGGCTGGCCTGGCTCGGCGTCCAGTCAGGGCAGCTGGAGGTGTTGGACCAACTTCCAGAAGTGGGGAGTGCGAGACCAGGCCAGCACTGTTGCTGGAAGACCACGGGGGGGGGGGGGGGGGGGGGGGGGA